TGACTTTTCCGCCGCAGTGTGTCCGGACGCTGTGGCGGGAGGTTGTCCTCGGAGCGCTGGCTGTGCGGAGGGCCGGCGCCTCCGAGGACGACCTCGGGAGGAGGAAGGGGCGCGGAGCGTGCGGCTGCCCCTCCCCTTCCTTGCCCCGAGGATGGCTTCTTAAGATGTCTGCCGAGGCCCATAGACTCTTACTCTCTCTGGAGCTTATTGCATAGCTAATTAAATTACCTTACCTGATCTCATTAAAATTTTAAATCATGCGGCATTCGGACCCTATTACAAGGATTTTGCCACTGAAATCACTGCCTGGGTCCATTCCCGCTCCAGTGGCCATTATCTCAAGCCGAAAAACTCCCAGCTTTGAAAAAAGCCATGCTGAGTGGCCCTGGGAGTGGGGATGGACCCAGGCTACATTTGGGCAGTGAAAACCTTGCGATAGGGTCCAGATTCCGCCCAATTTAAAATATGAACCAAATCAGATAAGGCGATTTAATTAACGGTGCGATAAACTTCTCTGTCTCTTACACACATCCACTGTCTCTCACAGACAGGCAGTCATATATCTTTTGGTCTCTCTCTCACACACATAAAAGGCTAACTACTGCAAAAGGAGAAAATTTGATGTAGGAGTCACAACCCTTCCTTCCTAAGCCGTGTCCCCTTCTTCAATTCACACCTCTGCCCTGGCAATTATGGGTTTCTCCCCCATAAAACAGACATTTCAAAAACCCTGTGGTGGTGGGAAACAGGGCTGTAACCATCCTGGGAAAACCCATATTCCACCAGCCTCCATGTTTCCTACCTGATTTTCATTCTCTGAGGTAACCTATGACTATGATCTACTTCTGAAGGACTGCAGCTCCCTATATGATCCTGTCTGTTTCTTGAGATCTTCTAGAGAGGCCCTTCTCTCTGTCTCATCTCCCTCAAAGGCACATCTGGTGGAAACATGGGAGAAGGCCTTCTCAGTGGCTGCCCCCAGGCTCTAGAATTGCTTCTTAGAGCAGCTAGGTTTTTGTAGGCCAGTGAAAGCCTTTTCGTCTTGGCAGGGTTTTGAATGCTGATTGCTCAGAGAAAGGGCCTTTCATGTTCTATATTGTTTATATTTGCTCTTCTTCTTTTTAATAGTTTATAATTGCTTTTAATTTTATTGATAGTTTAATTATATTTTTGTATAGTATACTTTTTAAAAAGCTGTATCTATTTTTAACATCTGTGAGCTGCCTTGAGTCTCAAGACTGAGGAAAAGGCAGAATATATATATGAGTAGTTTTAACAATAACACAACAACAACTTATTTGACAAAACAATGCCAGCCATATCTTTTCCACAGAAAATGGTTTGTACTGATCAACCATTCAACAAATGTTTTTGAAAGGAGCTAATAGTGAGAGGATGGGCAGAAATGGGAAACCCACTGGAACCCAAGGAAGGCAACTCATCCCCCCTTCTCCATCCCTACTCACTGCAGCTAAAGTAAGAGAGGCAAAGAATGAGACAGTGTTGACTGATACAATTAATAGTAGTCTGAAAAGTACAGAAGGTACTTTTGGGATGGGTGGGTACACATCTCTCTTGATTGCTTCGGTAGAGGGGCGAAATAGAAATAATAATAATAATAATAATAATAATAATAATAATAATAATAATAATAATAATAATTGGTGTATGATGGTGGTTATATTCCCTGATAAGCAGTGGTATGCTATTTATCTCTGCCTATGCTTAAATTGTGTGTGTGTGTGTGTGATTGAAAAGCAAACCAACAGTGCTTTATCCAAATTTCTCCTGAATCCCCAATGGGTGTGATCTATCTATCTACCTATCTAGAAGTGATTAACAAACAGAACTGAAAATATGAGCAAAATGTTTTGGTTTCTGTCTTCTTTAGTTGCTAAAGAACTACGCAGCCAGCAAGGTAGCAGTTTAGAACACTCTGCTTCCTGCATTCTTCATTGAATAATGGTATTATCCTCTAAGTTGGATAATAATAATAGTAGTAACAATTACCAGTTGTTATTACTATTAGTTTTACTATATTACTACTAGTGATTACATAGGTAAAGATATTGCCCGTTGACAAGGTTGTCAAGTCGTGTCTGACTATAGGGGGTGATGCTCATCTCTGTTACTAAGCTGCAGAGCCAGTGTTGTCAAAGATCATGTGGCCAGCATGATTGCTCAGAACGCTATTTACCTTCCCACTGAAGTGGTACCTATTTATCTACTTGCATTTGCATGTTTTTGAACTGCTAGGTTGGTAGAAGCTGGGACTAGTGACCCCATCATGCAGCAACCAGGCCTTGAACTGCTAATCTGCTGATCTTACAATCAACAGTCAGCGTCTTAACCACTTTAGCCACTGCATCTCTACAGTATATAGGCATTGTATTAGATACATATTGTATATATTACATACATATTATACATATTATACAATATGTATTAAATACATATTGACTTATCAACTATTTCTTACTGTACAGAGGTCAGATCTCTCTCGTTTTCTAGCAATGCTTTGTCTCATTTGATCACTCACACTCATGCCCCTGGGGTGCTTCCGATCTATTTCCATGTTTGCTTCTTCAGTGGTTTTATTTGAAGAGAAAAATGCTGCCCTTCTTCTTTTTCCATACTATTGGCTTCAGTCAATTCAGTTCCTCAAGGCTGCATTTCTGTCATACTCTCAGCAGAAAACTAATCTTAATTATTGGGGGTTGCAGACTGCCAGAAATAGTGCAAATTGAGTCCATTTTTAGGGTTAGGGTTAGGGTTAGGGAATCATGGGAACTGTAGTTTATTGTGGCACCAGAGCTCTCTCACAGAGAAGGCTCAATGTCTCAGAAAAAATACAATTCCCATGATTCTCTAGCACTAACCCTAACCCTAAAAGTGGACTCAATTTGCACTATTTCTGGCAGTCTGCAACCCCCCTATGTTGCTTTTTTCTCCCACCCACCTATTCCAAAATATTATTTTAAGGATTTATTTGAAAGTTCACAAACAAGATAACATTGCCTATGCTTGTTTCTCAGGCTTATAAAAGAGAATATAAATTCAAGTGTTATTTGTATAGGACAGGTTGATCTCTGTATCCATAGAGGTTACATTCCAAGAGCCCTGTGGATATCTGAAACCACAGATAATAAGGAACACTATTATTTTCAATGCGACAAACAAGCATACCATAGAATCTCACTGAAGGATCTAGAAATGCATAGAAAAAATATATATTTTTTCAGATGTACATAAGTGAAACTGCAGATACCAAATCTGTGGGTATGAGGATTGTACTGTATTTGGTTATTTATACAACTCATTCATGTCACCATGACACTGCCAATGATCATTGAAACTCTATAAATTATGGCCTAAACCCATTAATCCCAACTAGAATAGAGCTATTGAATCAACATAATTTACAAGCATATTGCCTTGCCAAGTTTCCACTGATTCAGTGGGTGTGCTCTAGTTGGGCCTATCAATGGGATCAGATTAGAGAATCATGTGAACAACCCAATCCATTGGACTGCAGTTTGCGTGTTGTTTCACCAGTGGCATCCCTGGCTATGGCTACTGGTGGCTGCAGTCCAAAATCATTTGGATGTGATTCCAGTCCAAGATTTCTATCATTGTGTATTGCTGTCAGCATCACTGAATAAAACATTCAGCTTAATGTCATTGGCTGCCTTTTTTTCTCCTTTAAGCCTACATAGGTAATAAATGGAAATAATAATTTTATACAAACATTGTATTTAAAGTTTTGGTAAGCAGAGACTTTGATCTGTGTAGATATCCTATGTACAATCAGCAGATTCCAGATACTGTCAAAATAAACCTTGACAGACAGAGAGTTTATAATGATATTTCCAAGATAAGGCTGTCAGAAACTTCTCAACAGTGAACAACAAGCCTATCAAACTTCTGAAACAAATAGATGGGATCTGCTCAGGATCAAAACTGTACAGAGTGACCATTTGCTTGCATCTGAGGTTGGCATAAAGCACAGTGACCTGTCTCTTGGTATTGGCTCCTAGACACAATAACCAACATGTCAATATGGACTTATAAAACCACTTTGATTATTTTTTCTTCTTCCCTGTAGCTCCTCATGCCTCATTAGGTGATGACTTGGTGTTACAACATTAAGCCTGCTTACACTTCCTGCTTCATGCTCTCTAAGAATGACCAAGAATAACTTCTTTCCTCAAGTAATAAGGTGGCAAGGCATAAAACAAATATATACAGAAAAATTATTGGTGGTCATTTCACAACTATGCTATAAATGCCCTGTGAGTTGGCTTTCCCTGGGAACAACTGGGGGTAGAAAATAAGTTGGATTTTTTTTTTACAGTTGACAAAAGTTTAATCTTGCTGCATTATTCCTTGTGTGGATGGATGGAGAGGGTGGCTATGAAAGAACTAGAAAAGATTCTAAAAAGATATACAACTGAGCACAAAAGTTAGAATCATACAAGCCATCATATATTCCCTATTACCATGTATGGATGTGAGAGCTGGACAGTTAAAGGTGATAGGAAGAAAATCAGTTCCTTTGAGATGTGGTGCTGGAGAAGAGTGCTGAGGATCCCATGGACAGACAAAAATACAAATAAGCGGTTCCTAGAGCAGATCAAGTCAGAAACCTGCCTGGAAGTCAAGATGACCAAACTGAGGCTGTCGTACTTTGGACACATCTTGAGAAGAGAGGACTCTTTGGAAAAAACAATGCTAGGAAAGGTAGAGGGAAGTAGAAAGAGAGGAAGACCACATGCTAGATGGATGGACTCTATTAAGGAGGTCACGGATATTAAGGGGTTGCAGGAATTAAGCAGAGCAGTGGAGGATAGAGGGTCTTGGAGATGTCTCATCCATGAGTCAAGATCAACTTGAGGGCAGTTAACAACAAATGAAAACAACCCCAGCTTAACTACGCTGCCCTTTTGTGTGGGTGGAGTGGCAGTAGAATAAAAGAATTTAAGTCACCCATGTATTTTAGAGGCAGCATGGTACAATGGTTTGTGTGCTGGATTAAGACTCTGGGAAACCAGGGTTCAAATCCATGTTCAGCTATGGAAATCCACTGAATGATCTTGGATGCTACATTCTGTCAACCTTAGGAGCTGGCATTTCACAGTCTTCTCAGAATAAATCTTGCCAAGACAATGTTATAATGAGGTTGTCATCAGTCAGAGTCAACATGAAGGCACATAACAACAGTTGTCATTTTAGACTAAGATTGTGCAACCTAATTTTAATGTAGTGGATGCTGTTTGACTTAAGCCTAAATCCAATGTCACCTATGTAGCCAACCATTATATGATGGGACCTTCTCCTCCTTTTCCTCATCCCTCTCTCCTCTTTGTTCTTCTCTGTTCTGCTTGGGTCTTCAGAATGGAAGCAAGCGCTACCCTCCAGAGTCCACTGACAGAAGCTTTTCTAGAAGCAAAGTAATCCTACTGGGCCTTGGTTTTAACTATCTTAAACTGATCAAACATAAACCAGACACTCTTGAAAAAGCAGGGAAGACAATACATTTTAAAAAGACTGAAGTTCTAATCTTGATCAAGAAGATAAACAATAGACAACACATTTAACATTAAAATGTGTGACATAAATTATCAGTCTAGATGTAAGACTGAAACAGTTGTTTCAGTTTGAGCTATTTAATAGTGAAATTAAGAGCAGAGCTATACATATGGATGCAGATCTAGGTCCAGAAATATGGTTCTTCAAGGCAAATTTAAGGGAATGGGACAAATTTGTAGCACAAAAGTGACAGGAAGGAGTGGTTGCTTAACTCTTCATTTACCACATCATTCCCCTGAAACCAGCAATTTGTCTTGCTATGCAGGCTTCCAGACATGAATTTGACCCATTACAGAGGAAACTGGCTGGGAAAAGGAGGCTTCCCATAGTTTCTCTCCTTACTATCCATACCTTGTCCACTGAAGTTCATCTCTTTACTCTGCAGCTTTGCAGCTGTTCAGTGGTTGTCAGAATCCAAGCTCTAGGAATTAATCACCAAATGTGCAGTTCTCATCTATCAAAATGTTTAAGAAAGGACAAACATAGGATTGAGTCTGCCTAGCTCATAATTTTTTACAAAGCAAGAAAGGACAGCTGAAGCTCTCTGCTCTTATAGAACAATGGCAGAAAGATAAGAAATGTTGTAATGGAAATAGCATTTAAGGATAGTTTTCTGATGGATTAAACCCTGAGAATAACTGGAAAAGCAAACAGTTTCACTATAAGAAGAGCGTCAGTCAACTCTGGAACTGATCAAACATAAATTAATCTACAGCTCTCTCACACTACACAGGTAATGTTTATGATTCCACCACAACTGCCTTGCCAATGTCCTACTGAAATCCAGAACTTCTCATCCAGCTTTCTGCCTTTGTGCTTCTAACCAAACTACAAACCACAGGAGGATGCAGCCACAATAGTTAAAATTGAATCATGCCATTAAAGTTATTCAGTGTGAAAGGACCCCTAGAAAACTGTGGGCTTTGGATGCTACCTTTCAATCCACTAGGCATGTGCAATGGTCCCAGTGACTGGAACAGAGAATTGTTCACAACTAACTATGGGCAGGCTCTTTTGCAAGCTTGCATTCTCCCTGTCTCAACATATTTCCAAAATTACAAAGTTCTACAACACATGAAACAAAGACAATGAAACATGAGTGGCCCATGACTACCTGGAAGATGTGTTGAGGGTGGCCAGCCTCAACATCTTGAGTGAGAGGTGCTTTCTGAATAAGCAAGAATCACCTTTTCATTTGAATAGTTCAGTTTGAATACTCTTGCCTTACATTATTTATTTCATGTACACTAAATTTCAGAGTCTCACTAATTTTCACATGTATACTTATATAGAATAAACACACAAAACCCTGCTTGCAACGAATGAGGACAGTCCAGCCAGCATCACGTTTGGAAATCTATTTTATGTCAGCGGGAGAAATATTAACAATGTACCTGTGGATCTTAAGAGTGCTTAATGCTGCTGGAGCACATCCTGCAAAACTTCTCTGGGACTTTATATCATAAGGGGAGGGGATTGCAGACTGCCAGAAATAGTGCAAGTTCAGTCCACTTTTCGGGTTAGGATTAGAGAATCATGGGAACTGTAGTTTATTGTGGCACCAGAGCTCTCTGACAGAGAAGGTTCAATGTCTCAGAAAAAAAAAAAAGAATTCCCATCATTCCCTAGCACTAACCCTAACCCTAAAAGTGGACTCAATTTGCACTATTTCTGGCAGTCTGCAACCCCCCATAGATATGTGCATTCCTGGCAACTTTGACTTATGACAACCTGATCCTAGGGTTTTCTTGGCAAGATTTATTCAGAGGAGGTTTGCCATTCTCTTCCTCTTGGGGTAAGATAGCGTGACTTGCCCAAGATCATCCACTAAGTTTCCATCACTGAGCAGGGATTTGAAACATTGGGGGATGCAGACGGGTGGTCCAGAGCTGCCCTGGGAAGCAGAGGATTGGGGCTGAGGCTGCCCCACGCCTTGGCCCCAATCCTCCCTTTTACTGGCTCGGAAAAGAGCAGAAAAAGCTACTCCTTTCAGAGCCGGCAAAAAGGATGCCCCAAGAGCCACTGTGTGGCTCTTCTGCACCCCTTCCGGTGCAGCATGTGAAGATGCTGCACTGGGAGGACGTTCTGACACCGCATGTCGTGCGTAATGGCACGTGGCATCAGGACGTCCTTGGGGAGGGGTTGGGGTGGGTGGCATGCAGGGATCCCTCCCCATTCCTGCCTCAAGGACGCCGGAAAGGGCCCGTCTGCAGAGGTCCATAGTCTCCCAGAATCCTAGTCCAACACTCAAACCACTACACCATATTTGCTTTCCTCCCGGACATGATATGATATGAAGAGAGTAACAATAAAATTATCTTAACCAATTTTAAAAAAGAATAAAAATTTAAAAAGAAAAAGCATACTAAAGAATTTAACAAAACAAGACAGTAAAATCAGTTAAAACATATTAAAACAACACATGTGCAGATTTGAATAAATTCTGTTAGGCCCCAAAGGCTTTAATAAAAAGCCGTATTTTTACTTGGAATAATACCAGTGTTGGTACCAGAGGAGACCTTCTCCCATATCTTCCCAGTGTGTTGCCCCCATTTGGGGATATAGGGCCCCTCCAATAGATCTCACTCCTTAGGCAAGTATATATATAGAGAGGTCCTCCTCCCCTATTGCACAGGTATTGAGGTCTCAAGCCATTTAGGGCACTGAATGTCATTAGCAGCATCCTAAGGTCAGGCCAGAAGCAAATCTCTTCCAATATATCTAGCCAAAGGTTATCTGCTCATTGTAGTTATGTTATACAGAAGTCACTTTCATGGCAATCCTTAATACGGTGGTACCTCTACTTACGAATGCTTCATCTTACGAAAAATTCAACTTA